TGAATGATAGATCTTCCTAGGAAAGGTAGGAAAAAGGAGAGTTACATCATGGATCATTTCCATAGGTAAGAGTATTGCCTAAGCTCCCTGAGAAATCAGAGTGTTACAAATATGTCACTTCTATTTCCCAACATATGAAAGAGAAACCATTCTTAATCAAACCTAGGATTTCCCAAGCTACACATATAGATACTGTTCACACCTTTAGCATTTGAGAAAATGAAATAAATAAAAATCTCTGGGCTGGGGATGTGGCTCAAGCGGTAGCGCGCTCGCCTGGCATGCATGGGGCGCTGGGTTCATTCCTCAGCACCACATAAAAATAAAATAAAGATGTTGTGTCCACCAAAAACTAAAAAATAAATGTTAAAAAATTCTCTCTCTCTCTCTCTCTCTCTCTCTCTCTCTCTCTCTCTCTCTCAAAAAAAAAAAAAAAAAAAACTCTTTAGCTCACCAGTAATTTTCACAAAGGTACCCTGGCCTGAAAGTTTGCTCCAGGTGAGGCATAAATGGACTCCAGGAAGATGGTAATAAATGGGATTAAAAAAAAGAAATCTTTATAGAGAAGTCCTTTCAATAGGAAAAAATTTTTTGCTTCCTGACAGTAATCTCCATAGGAGATTAATATGTTTTGACCTATCAAGTATCTATTACATAGAGCACAAAAGACTTAACCTTGTGGTTATGATGACAACCACAAGCTTACAAAAAATTAGTTTCTCCTAGTGAATTTGTATGCTGTAGACTGTCATAGTCTGCCCTTTGTCATGACTGTGTGAAAGCTCAGAACTCACTTTTGAGCTCAATTGTCTCAACTTTCCAGTTCTTCATACTTTTCTATGGTCTTCCCTGTACCGGATCTTCATCTCCTTTATTCCTTGATTCCATTCTTCTTGTTGTTGTTATCTGTTTTGTTGTGGTTGGTTTGGTTTGATTTGTTTGCTTTTACCTTATAGCACCTACATATTTATTGCAGATCACTTCGAATATTTTTGGAAAAAGTAAGTCAATACTGATCAATGATTATAAAATATTTCCTGATTTTAAAGAGCTCACAATCTAATAAAAATAGAAGGTTGGGAAACATTATTGAAATATTACTATGCAGTCTATAGACACTGTAAAGGGAAGGCCAAAATAAATATAGTTTTATGAAGAGTGAAGTCACATTCAGATAAGTGACCACTTTGAGAGAAAATATTAAATGAGATGAGCTTTGAATGACGTGAGTCAACATCTGAGGATGTGAAGTTAGGAAGAAGAAAGCTCAAGACATGTTTACCTCCAGATAACATTTGGCAGAAATGTAAGAAAGCATAGGAGATAATGCTGCAAAGACATTGGAACCAGCAGGTGAAGGATGATTGAAAATTTTAAAGCAACTGTGAATCTACAAAATGTTTCTGAGCAGAAAATTATAAAATTGAAGTGATTAAAAGGTCAGAAAACTACATATAAGCAATGCCTTCCAGGATTCCTGAAGAGGAGGCACCTAACTACCATATCTCTACAAAGACCTATATAGATCATGGACACAATTTCTTAAAGGAGAGACAAAATAAGGGAGGCAGCCCAGTTATACCTCCAGAAAAATGCAAGTCCAACCTCAGCATGAGCTGCTTTCTGTCTACCCTGCCCCATCAGCAATCAAGAGATGCAGCTGGAGATTCTAGTGGGGACTGACACTCTCTGGCCCTGAGATGAGGGTGGCACAAGCAGTCTCCAGGCCCTTTCCTTTGTTCCTTGGAATATCCCAAGTTAGTGAAAAAATCTGGGTCTCTCACTCTTGTCTGTCTCTTCAGTATCCGGCTGCCACTGCAGGGCAGAATCATCTCTGATGTCACAACAGATGAATCAGGCTTTGGCATCATCTCACAACACTCTGAGAAGTTGGTGATGATGGATAGGGATAGGACGATGCATTCCAAAGGATGCTACCGTGATGTAAGATTAATACTTGTAGGGTTCCAGAAAAGTCAGTCTTTGAAATCATCAACGAATCAAAGGCTTTCCAACACTCCTGTCATTGTTACAATCTGTATTACCCAGTTCTAATACCAGTGACTGTGGCCAGCTATATCTGTATAGCAGTTGAACGCCGCCTTCTACTTAAAGAGAAAGGAGTGGGGAGGAGGGAGGGAAGAAGGAAGGGAAAGAAGGAAAGAATTCACCTCCCGCTAGCATTTTCCCGGATTCTGTGCTTTTCCTGCATCGTTTGCCATTCCGTGCTCTTGGCTATTCCCTATGGTCTGTGACATTTGCAGAGACTCACGTGGAGTGGCCAACCTCAGCTGCTCAGGGCGATGACGCCTAGGAACTTCCCATGGACCAGGACGTTGCAAGCTCTGACACGCAAGGGAAGGGGGAGCGAGCAGGCTGTCAGGAGGGCCAGGGGCAGCTCAGGCTGAGTGGGGTTCATCTCAAGGGCTGGATCGGTGTCAGCCTTTTCCTCCCTTCAACCCTGTACTGGCGCCTCTCCAACCCAGAGGCTGGCTGATAGATATCTTCTTGGGCGCTCTCTGAGTCACTTGGCTGCGCTTAGGCTCTTTCCTGGATGTCTTTGCGAGTACAAATCCAAGCCCGCCGTCCCGCTGCTTCTCCTGTTCCTAAAACCAGTACCGAACTCCCGCCTGAGGTGACCAAAATTGTTCTGCTTTGCTAGGGCAAAGTGCCTAAGACGCAGGGAATACGAAAGCTTGCGCCGCCTCTGGGAGAGTTGCGCGCTGGACAGCATCTTGGCGATCTCAGGGCTTCGAACCCTGCTGTGTGGTCTGACCTCGCTACTTGTGTGGTATCCACACTCTGGCCGGCCCAAGAATGGAGCTGTGAAGGTGGCTGGGCGCTGGAACTTGGTTTCAAAAATTTCTGACGAAGAATATGATCGAAGAGACCCGAGCCCATAAGGCATTCCCAGTCGCCAACTATAAGCGCTTTTTCCCGAAATTGATAAAGAGTTTTTGAAGAGGAGACCCATTATACCTTTCCCCCCATTATTTCAGCCTCCCTCCCGTCGTTCCTGCCCCTAAGATTCTGGTCAGGATTCCACATTTAATGCCTTCAGGTAGAAGCACTATCCAAGCCTGAGGCTGCACCCACTCTCCAAAGCATTCCCCCAAGAAAGCACTTGAGTTTCCCAGTAGCCAAGAAAGAGGAAAACCAGTAATTGAAACTGGCCAAAGGAAATGCTCAGAGGTGTACAGGATTCGTGGACGTTGGTATCAAGTCCTTAGAGTGGCTGCTGGTTTCAGAAAGTCTTTTTCCCAAAGAGAAAATGTCAGTCATAAAAACCATCCTGTAAGACAAAGATGAGTGTATCAATTTCTTAAAGAACATTCAAGCAAACATCAAATTAAAAGGAGTAAGGTGAGGGAAATTCCTGATGATTTTACTAATGTTAAAATTCCATAGATTTGGCTAGTACTTTTATTTCACATCATCAATTCAGAATTCTATAAAGGAACAGAATGACATCAAAGAAAATCATTGGCCTAGGAGAAAAGAGCCCGTAGGCGTTTAGGTGTTATATATGTGGAGCCAGAAAGCTCTGGAGCATCAGGGAGAGTCCAACTTAAGGCAACAGCATGGGTGAATATGGGCTTCACGTGGACGGGGAAAGAGAGGCGAAGACTAGTGACTGAGCACTGGCCCCTAAGTCAGGCCTTGCAGATCTAAGGCAGTTCAGTCTTGATTGGGAGAGTTCAGTGTGACACTGGGGTGGAATTGGGTCTTCAAGTACATTTCCTGATGTATTATTGTTTGTTCTACCAGCTTTTTTTAGGAAAATCCTCATCTTGCATTTGGTAGGGCTGGTGCTAACTTACAACTTCACTAACTGTGACTACAAGAAGATCAGACAGGCATATAAGAGTATCATTTTCTGTGCCCTGAAGGAATATATGAATGGGGTAAGTGAAGAAATAATTTTTAAACAAATATATTCTTATCAGAAGTGTAAGTATACATACATGAAAACTACAACTTAACTTTCAAAGAAAGAAAAATGCTTTAAAAATTATTTCATCAAAATTTTTTTGTGAGTGATTTTCAAATATATTGGCATCTAAAATGACTATCTATAACTTGGTGTGTTCTAAGTGTGCAGAGGCTGATGAAGAACAGATACTGATAGATAGGTAACATTATGCATCACAAATGCCTTCTGCAGAAGTGCTGCTCTGATTTGCAGTAAAAAAAAAAAAAAAAAAACAATGGATAAGGGCTTGAGAAAGAAGAGTAAAAGAGAGGAAATTCTTGTGAGATAAGCCTAAGGAGTGAGAATACCAAGGCATTCTGTGCATCAGGGCTTTCTAGTGTTCTAGATGTTTCAGGATCTTATTATGGGACATGATGCACTTTGGGTTTTTTAAGTGTCTGGTAGGAATCATTTTCTTGATAACCCAAGTTTCTGGATAGAGTGCATGCATAATATACAGGAATGACTACAGGGCAGATGTGGACATCCTAAGAAGGATGTTATCATTCAAGCAGATAGTTCTGTGTGCAGATGTGTCTGCTTTGGTGTGTGTTTGGTGGGGGAGGTATCTGGGAACCTCTGATTCCAGGACCCTTTGATGTCCCTTTTCAAACACTGACAAGTAGCATCTGAAGACTCGATGATGTTTGATTGTTTTGTCAATGATATGACAAGCAAGTACCAGATAGAAACTTCTTCCAGAGTACCTTTAAAGCCTGGCAACAAGGGACTGAAAATGATTTTTCCTTTGGGCTTAAAGTTTTGCCCTCTTCTTATTTTTCTTCTCTTTCTTCCAGACCGAAAGTACCAGCTTCGACCAAATTGAATCCTGTTACAACCCAGTGAGTAGAACCATCAGTGCCTCTGGCTTTCTCCCAGAAAAGACGCCAGGCGTTCCAGGGAGGGAGTATCTTGCCGAGTGCAGATCCCCCGGGCAGTGGCGGAGCTCCACAGTTAGTCCGCCGGCCAGTAGGGGACAATTTGGGCTATCAAAGGGAGGCTGCGCCCAGCATGGGAATCCACTTCGGTGCCAATTTAGGGAGAGGAAGTTTCTTTCCGAGCGAGCGAGCGGGATTCCGGGAGAGAGTGCTCCTTTTCTCACTGGGAGAAAAAGCACATGGGAAACTGGGACCGGGAATGAAGTTAGCGACACCTCTGCCTGAGGTCCAGGCGCTTCTGCTCTCAAGTGCTCTTGACAGCGGACTCTAGGGGAAATGGGCGGAGTGAATGTGGGTGACCTTTCCTTCTACTCCAGCGCCTTTTGCTGCGCTCTCAATGTCCCTCCTTCCTGTCGGGTGGTCCGCTTTCCCTCTCCTCAACCATGACCTCTTCCTTCTTATTCAAGACATCTTCGTTGTGTCTTCCGTTCCTCCCCCACCTTCCTCGCAGCCCCTTTCATTCAATTTATACTAATTCTCCCCCCTCCTTTTTTTTTTCCTTCTTCTTTCTTTCTGGTGTTTTCTCCCTTGTTCCTAACGTCGCGGCCTGTGAGCAGTCAGATTGTCTCATTAAAATCGAGCACCATACCTTCAATCCCACCAGTGACTGCCTGTCACTCTCCGAGTCCCCCTTCGCCTTGAAAACTAATACTACCCTTGTTCTCCAGTGCTCAGGCTACTCAGGAATTCAGGTAAGCGTTAGGCATGGGGCACTAGCCTTTTTAATACCTGGGGACTAACTTTACTTCAACCGGGGCGTTAGTGATTTTCATTCAGGTTTTATCTTTTGAAGCGCGAAGAAGTCAGGTAAAAGTTGTGGGTTGTCAATTAATCTCACACTGACTGACTGGGTTGAATTATGGTTCTAAGCTGTTCCTGGGTGGTTTCAAGGTGTGATCAGTGAGCCTCCTACATTAGAATGTCCTGGCTGCTGTTCAAAATGTCAGTTCTCAGCGACACAATCCATACCTTTAAAAATCAAAATTTCAGCCTTATACCAGGCTCCTTAAGGAGATTCTTGTCCATTTCAAAGTTTAGCAACCCTGCTTGGGTTTATAACTTAGCAATTGTATGCTTCTTTCTTAAAATGTTGCATTATATATTAAATCTCTACCCTATGTTTTGCTTGATTGCTTGCTTGAGTGGGACTGCAGTCTCTTTAACATAATAAATTTTTGCAATACAGTCACATGCATTTGAATGAATGTGTAATTTTAAAGATGGAGACATTATAGTGGAGAGTTAGGAGTAGGAACTCTGGAGTCAGCCTGCCTGACTTTGAATCCTAGCCCTTTAACTTAGCTTTTAACTGTGAAGATCTGGACAAGTTTTTAGCATCTATGTGCCTCAGCAAAATAAGTAATCTGTTCTTAAGTCCTACATAGGCTGTCTGTAAGAACTAAATGAGTCACCATATATAAAAGCACTTGGAAAGATGCCTGGTACGTAACAGGTACTCAACTCAAAAAATATTTCAGTTGGTGAATAAAGTAGAAAATTTATGTTCTTGAGATAATTTTAAGAAAGACAAAGATAGACAATGTAGATATGTATGATTGATGTTGATTAACCCAGTAGACTTAACAAATCTGCAATCCAAATGTCTAAGTAGCCAAGACTGTCATTTTTTACGTCTCAAGGATTGAATCATAGGTTTCAACCAAGCTAGGAGTTGAAACCACCTGTATTGAGCTTAAGTGAAAAACTCAAGACCAAGCAGTCATATGAGAAATCTGTTTGCCTCTATGTCTTCCTTCAAAGGGAACTCTGGCAAGGCTACAAGTCTACAGATGGTCACAATAAAATTCACTCATATAAGAAGAGCACAAAGGACAGACTTGATCAAGTTCTTGAGCAGAATTTTTTTGATAAAGGGAGAGTCTGGAGAAAATTATTTCACCCCCACCCTAGCTCAAACAGAAAGTCTGAGACCAATAATAATTAATTAGGATTTAGCAGAATTAGACTGTAAGATTCTTGCTTGGTAACCCAGGATTCTCTATCAATCTGTGTGTGCCTAGGAAGGAGGCTCAGCCTGTCATTACTCAAGGGTTAAGAAATGCACCAAAATCTTGTGCAGAATAAGTCTTCAGGGTGTCTGTGGCACATGTAAGGAGTGGTAGGGATGGGGAGCAGGAATAATTTGGTTTCAAATAATAGACTAGTTTTTACTGAATTCTAGTAAGATACAGAAGATAAGTCCTATCCTTTGAGGATTTGTGCTCTTGTCAGAGAGATCATGACATCATCAATTTATTTATTCACTTAATCATGCAAAAAGTATCCAGTGTTTCCTATGTATAAGTCACTGTACTCAGTGCTGTGGGGAAATACCAATGATGCAACCATAAGAAGAGTAGGTGAAAGCCAAGTGAAATGACACATACTCTTAAGTATTAGAAGTTTCAAAAAGAAAGATCTGAGCAATTTGCAGAGGTTTTGTGGAGGAGGTGCTGCTTGGCCTTTTAGCAAGATTATGTGGGTGGAGAGAGAGAGGAGGGCTTTCCTCTGCAAAAAGCGCTCACACTTAAGCAGTTGAGAGGTGGATTTTCTGGGAGAAGATGACATAATCTGCCACTCAAAAGTTGTTAAAGATAGTGAAAATTAATTTTTTTTTACTATTGATTCTCCTATTCAACAGAAAAACAATACCCAGGAAATGAAACAAGAAGGAGTCAACAGTAACTGCCTCAACCAAACCTCACAAATACTAGGATGGTGGCGTCGTTTCTCTCGACTTTTAGGAAAATAAAACTATTTTAATTCCTGTCATATTTTATAGCACCAAAAGAAATAATTTTTATTAAATATATAAAATGTTAACTCTGTGACATTTAAAAGAGCACTAATAGTTATTCTTTAACTACAGAAAGGTTTCTTAACTTATTTTGGGGTCAGTCTGTATTGTTTAATGTGGGTTATTTAATGTGGGAAGTATTGATCCTCTAATGTCAGGGGACACTTCTGTAACATTGGTGACTGGCTTCATGGCACTAATTCTCATCTGAAACTGTACAAGCCCTACTCTAGGGAGAAAACAAATAAGTATAGTAGAAAGAAATTTAAAAAAGAAAAGTGTTGGATTCAATGACAGCATCTAACCCTCTGTTTTAAAAACAGGCATTTATTTTACATGTTATGATTCTTTTCCTGTTCTCATACTAAAACTCTATAGAAGAAGAAAAGCAAAGCAAATGAGAATGTACAAATCATGGAAAGTATAACGAAGCAATTTGAAAGAAGTTTCAAGCAAAGTGTTATAAAAGTATTCTAAGCCAAGTTTTAAAAATTATAGACCAGAGTAGGATATGCAAGTAGATTCTGAAGAAGTACCTTTGTTACAGCTATTATATATATAATAAATCTTAAATTTTATATAATGCATTTTTAATTTATTTTGTGAGCACTTTTGAAAATGTACATGTTGCTTTATAACTGACATTACATATTTCTTAATAAAATAATTTTCAAATTAGTTTTGTATGAATATTCTTTTAAATTTAGTTACAGGCCAATTTTCACACAGTTTTCTAAGAGATACCACTTTTCTTCAGGTCTTTACCTCCCCTCATGCTGAGACCCCATTGATCACACACCCCTTTGTGCTATGCCTGTTGGTCCTGTTTATAAGAGAAAATATCTATAGAGAGGTACCTAAAAGTATTTAGAGACAGATGATTGCAGCACCTCACTTTCCTCAGTTGTGTCATTAATCCTTCCTTCTTTCTCCCGTTGAGCTTTTCTCACACCGGGAAGAGACAAAACAGGCAAAAGTTAACTGAAGATGATAAGTTCATTCTTGAATACCTGATGCAAGCTGGGCCATAGACACCCCTTCATTCGTCCTCAATTCAGAATCTTCCAACACTGATTGGAGAGATAACCGTAGCCATAGAGTCTAGGCATAATAGAGCACATGGGAATACACTGACTTTTTTCTGTGAGTAGAAATGTTCCCCTGAGCACTGCCCTAGTGTTGGGGCTAAGCCACAATAGAAGAGGGGAAGTTCAATGTCCCTAAATACATCTTTCCACCAACAAGTTAAGAGGAAGCTCATATTTTGTATCCAATTAGCATTTAAGGACACTTGCTGTGGGTCAAGGTTTCAGCTGAATACTCAGAATACGGAAGGAAATAAAACACAGTCCTTGCTAGAGAAGCTCGAAGTGTGGATGAATAGGCAGTTTTCTTCTCTCAGAGGAAAATCAGGATATGCCCATTTCCCAAAAATCTTCCTCCAAATTAGCCTTGGACCAGGACCTTAAGTAACTGCCATCAGAAAAGAAACTCCTTAGAGTAATCTTTAATTTTCTGGGCAAAAGGTTGAGAGAGGGATGGCACTTTAAATCTATGAACTCCATCTTAATAGGGATTCATTGACTCCAATTTTTTTTTTAATGTGAAAAACCTTACTGTCACAAATTTTCTCCAATTTTGGGCCTAATTCCTCTAAAAGAAGAGAAGAAAGAAGGATTAAGGAGAAAGAAGATTATTCAAAGTCATTCCATTAAATGCAATTTCTTTGTGTCTTCTGCTTTCTCTTTAAAACTTTTGGTAATTTATGTATTTTATTCTGTTATGTATTCCATAGGTGTTTTAAAATAAAAACCATCATTTGAATTGCTTATATTATTATGTAAATATCATGTGAAATACCATATACCATATTAATCTAGTAAGAACTTTCACAAATGTTGCAAAAATATGGATAATACATTCTTATTTTTTGAAATATATTATGGTCTTCAAGGTAGAAGAGTATATGGTCAATGTTATCAATGTTCTATGGTCATGAAAAGAAAGCTGCACATTCTGGAATAACTATAAGTTACAAACAGTTGAATATATACCTGTTGGGACTGACTTATTAAATATGCTGTTTACATAATTTATGTTTGTACTTTTTTGTCTCCTTTACTCAGAGGCTGAGAGAGCTGTGTTAAAGTCTCCTCCTGCCATTATTGTTTCTTATTTACTCATGTCCCCTAAAGTTTTGCTTTTTAATTGAGACCACTTTTTATTTCATTCCTGAAAATTCACAAGAGCTGTTTATTGAAAATTGTACTCTCTGCCATATAATATTTCCACATTTTGGTGTTTCTGGATCCCTTTGTTGTAGATGTCTCTTGTATTAAAAAAGAAATCTAGTGTGTCTGTGGTGGAGGAAGAGGTTGGGAGGAGAAGGAAGGAGGAAATTGAGGCATATTTACTTTAGCACTGTCATTGTATTGATATGTCTTCTGTTTTTATATATCTGTACTATTGGCATAATTTTGACCTACAAACAAGTCTTTACACTGAACATTTCTTATGAATTTTGTGCTATCATTTCTGCATATTGGGATTCTGAGGATTGAACGTTGATGCTATTATTTATTATATAACTTTCTCCTAGTTGTCTATAGCTTAATTCAAGTTATTGAAAAAAAAATTGATCAAGACCCACCTCTGCTCACTTCAAAGGAAGTACCTTCATGGGTTGTTAAAGCATTTGTTCTTGCTTTTTGTTTTAAAGTTTTTCTTGAACTTTGCAGAACCCAATTTTCATTTCTTCATTATATCCATATAAAAATAAAGGTCAAGAAAAAAATTTGTCAAATTATTTCCTGATGTCAAAACATACTAAGCCCATATTATCCCCCAAATCTATAAATCAAGTAAATTTACCCTCAAAACAAATGGAATTTGTTTATATATCAGTTGTATTCCTCTCTAAATCTTACAAACCAACTCTGAGAATTATGCTAGAGAATGACATCAAGTTGATCTGGGTCTTTTTGTGTTTCTTCCTTTCCATTATTCAAAAGTACTAACTTTTCTCATGTTTTATTTCTAGCTATAGTTTTAAGAATATTTTTTGGCCAGTGTTGCAATTTCTAAATACAGCTGTGCTTTTTGACATCCAGTATTTATAGTATGTCAATTAAAATGTTTCATTTATTATTATGTCTAACACAATAGTTTACATATGAGGATAATAAATGCTAATTAGCTTCCTTGAGTATCAGGTTCTTTGTGAGTTGTTAAAGAATTTGTCCTTGCTGTTTGTTTTAAAAATTTCCTTGAACTTTGCAGAACCCAATTTCCATTTCCACCTCTAAAATAAAGATGAGGCTTATGGCATTGTAGATGTTATTATGAGAATAAAATACATAATAAATATAAAACCTCTGGAAAACGGGCAAGAAAAATATTTTAAATTTACCTATTTGAATGTTCATTTTATTATAAAGTTGAAAGATAGGAACTGCACATTAGTCAGCTTTCTGTCACTGAGATAACCTACTTAAAGAGGAAAGACTGATTTTTGTCTCATAGTTTCAGATGTTTCAGTCCATAGTGATTGGCATGTTGCTTTTGGGCTGTGGTGAGGCAGAGCATCATGGTGGGAGCATGTAGCCAAGCAAAGCTGTTCATCTCATGGTGGGTGAGAAAGTGAAGAGAAGGGCTGGGGTCCCACTGTTTCTTTAAAGAACACACCTATGACCTAACTTCCTTCTATTAGGCTCTTCCTCCCAAAAGTTCCACCACCTCCCAATAGCCGCACACTCAGGACCTTGGGTAACACTTATCCAAACTATAACAGACTGTTACAGAACCTCGAAAAACTCTTCTTACTTTTTGGTTTAGGATTGCTTTGCAGCAATGAAAAAATGGTTGAAATATTTAAGCACACAATTGTTGACAGTTTGACAATTTTGAACTCTACCAAATTGGACAGAGTAGCAAAAGAGAGAGGTGCACAGAGAAAGAAAACTGGGAATTTGTAGAGGGCATCTCATGAGGGTTTATTCAGCTGAGTACTTCTCAGAACACGCACATGAGAAAAATACCCAAGAAACAGGAAAAAAACACACACACATCAAAACTATTAGAGGGAATGCTGCCCATTGCTCACTCAAGGGCAGGAAGATTGTCTATTCCCTTTTTTTTCCTCATTAGGCATCAGGTAGGGCACTCAGAAGAGTCTTACCTCAGTAATGGAGAATAATTAATCCAAGACTAATTGCTGCAATGATCCCACCCAACAGATCTTAAGGCAAGACTTGAAAGGATCAGTTTCCAAGTCACTTAGCTGCATTCCACAACAAATCTCAAGAATATTTGTAGAAATAAAAAAAATAATTAGGACACAACAAGGAAAAATGCACAATGTGTGATGTATAATGAAAAGTTATCAGACATGAAACCAGTAGGAAAATATATCCCATGATGGGGGAGAAAATGACACTGACTCATAGGTAACACATGTCAGAATTAACAGGTGAGGACGTTAAAATGATTAACAACCGTATTCAAGAGGTTAGAGACATATAAGATATTAAGAAGATTCAAATCTAACTTCTAGAAATGAAATATACGATGGATGATATTAATGGGAGATTAGATATTTTTAAATATTAGCAAAATAGAAGATATGCCAGGAAAAACTGTCCAAAATAAAACAGAGGGGGAAATAAATCACACAGGACTGTGAAATGAGCAAGTGCCTGATATATGTAAAATAAAAGTACCTTAGGGAATGAAGTAGAGAGGTGCAGGAAAAATGTATAAACAAACAATAACTTCAGGTTTCCAAATTTGATGAAAGCTCCAAACTCACAGTTCCAAGAAGCTCAACAGAACAAAAGAAATAAAGGAAACTTCAGTAATGCTTATTATATTCTAATTGCTCATAATGAGAAACCTTAAATGCAGCTAACGGATTATGAATGCCTTCGTGATATCCTTTTCAGGATAACCTCTCCAAAGCACTTTGGTGTTTTTTCTTTGACTCTTTCCCCTATACCATTTATACATTCTTTCATGATAATAGCATTATATCATATATTAAACAATTGAATTTAACATCAGACAGCTTTGCTGACTAATTTCTACCTGTGACCTTGCAAGTAGTATGGTTGCAAGAATTTTTGTTTATATTTTCTGCCTTTATTGAAATAAAGGTAAAAGGTTGTCATCAATAAAACTCACATTTGCTGTGTAGCATTGCCATTTAATTTTTTTGTGCTATCTTATTGAATCTTTGCAATGATCCTGTGAGTTAGTTCTGTTCCCATTTTAGGGATACAAGAGAAGGCTCTGTGAGTACAATATCCAGTTGTACTTATCCAGTAAGTGCAATATCTGACCATTTCAAAATCTGTGCAGTTTTCATTACCCGGGGTTAAAACTTAAGATTTTTGAATAAGAAATGCTGCCAAGTGGCATTTGGGCCCATTGTATAATAGACAATAGTCATAACCTCAATACACTTCACCCCAACTCTCAATTATTCATCCATTTTCCCTCCCCCATAAGGAAGAGGAAAACTTCAGTAATGCTTATTATATTCTAATCGCTCATAATGAGAAATCTTAAATGCAGCCAAGAATTGATTCCAGATCCTGCAATGGACCTTGATTAGTTGAAGTTAGTCTGGGCCATCCCAATTTCCTTGCTGGGCAGAATGGAATTCTTGAGCAGGGTAAGCA